TAATGATGAAGTCTTTATTAATGCCTCTGTTTTTTTCTTTGTTAGCGGAAGACAGTTAACGCTGATCCAGATGCCTTAGTGAGACAGAGCTTGTCTCCCATTCAACTGGAGCCCCCTACTGGAAGATGCGGTAAGATTCAAACTCTAAACTCTACTTCTTGCACTCTTGACTAAGTCAATTGATGTTGAGCCTATCAGCCCTTGACCTTTTGATTTGTAATTGATAGGATGCAGACCGATGGGGCCCGTCAGAAGATGAACGCAAGGAGCCGATTCCGCAACCAGGAAGCCTATTAGAGAAGTGCCATTTATGTCTCCCTTTCTTATTTTTTGTCTGTTTCCTGTATCCTCCCTACGCTAACATAACTAAAACTTATCTTCTCCTCCCCATCCTCTTCCTCCATTTTACTCTTTCCTGATCTAATTGCTTAAATTGTCTTCATTATCTTAATCGATTTGTTCATCTCATCTTCGTTTAATGTTTGTGTTTATGTCAATTTCTCGAATTATTTGTGTTTATTGTGTTGAGTTTTTACTAATTTTGTTCTAGCTGTATATTTTCAGGTTCCCGGACGGGGGACGACGCTGGAGGACGACGCTGGAGGACGACGTTGGAGGACCAAGGCCGGCCAACAGAAGAAGAGGAATTTATTGTCTAGTTATGTACAGTGCATCCTATTAGTGAAAAGGGTAAGTAAGAAACTGCACTTGTTCCACTTTGAAATTCCCGATTTCCTCTCTAAACCCCAGGTGAGGTTAAGATTGGAATTGGCCTTGTTCTCTGCAGTCTGTGCATTTTAATGACTCTTATTAATGATGAAGTCTTTATTAATGCCTCTGTTTTTTTCTTTGTTAGCGGAAGACAGTTAACGCTGATCCAGATGCCTTAGTGAGACAGAGCTTGTCTCCCATTCAACTGGAGCCCCCTACTGGAAGATGCGGTAAGATTCAAACTCTAAACTCTACTTCTTGCACTCTTGACTAAGTCAATTGATGTTGAGCCTATCAGCCCTTGACCTTTTGATTTGTAATTGATAGGATGCAGACCGATGGGGCCCGTCAGAAGATGAACGCAAGGAGCCGATTCCGCAACCAGGAAGCCTATTAGAGAAGTGCCATTTATGTCTCCCTTTCTTATTTTTTGTCTGTTTCCTGTATCCTCCCTACGCTAACATAACTAAAACTTATCTTCTCCTCCCCATCCTCTTCCTCCATTTTACTCTTTCCTGATCTAATTGCTTAAATTGTCTTCATTATCTTAATCGATTTGTTCATCTCATCTTCGTTTAATGTTTGTGTTTATGTCAATTTCTCGAATTATTTGTGTTTATTGTGTTGAGTTTTTACTAATTTTGTTCTAGCTGTATATTTTCAGGTTCCCGGACGGGGGACGACGCTGGAGGACGACGCTGGAGGACGACGTTGGAGGACCAAGGCCGGCCAACAGAAGAAGAGGAATTTATTGTCTAGTTATGTACAGTGCATCCTATTAGTGAAAAGGGTAAGTAAGAAACTGCACTTGTTCCACTTTGAAATTCCCGATTTCCTCTCTAAACCCCAGGTGAGGTTAAGATTGGAATTGGCCTTGTTCTCTGCAGTCTGTGCATTTTAATGACTCTTATTAATGATGAAGTCTTTATTAATGCCTCTGTTTTTTTCTTTGTTAGCGGAAGACAGTTAACGCTGATCCAGATGCCTTAGTGAGACAGAGCTTGTCTCCCATTCAACTGGAGCCCCCTACTGGAAGATGCGGTAAGATTCAAACTCTAAACTCTACTTCTTGCACTCTTGACTAAGTCAATTGATGTTGAGCCTATCAGCCCTTGACCTTTTGATTTGTAATTGATAGGATGCAGACCGATGGGGCCCGTCAGAAGATGAACGCAAGGAGCCGATTCCGCAACCAGGAAGCCTATTAGAGAAGTGCCATTTATGTCTCCCTTTCTTATTTTTTGTCTGTTTCCTGTATCCTCCCTACGCTAACATAACTAAAACTTATCTTCTCCTCCCCATCCTCTTCCTCCATTTTACTCTTTCCTGATCTAATTGCTTAAATTGTCTTCATTTTCTTAATCGATTTGTTCATCTCATCTTCGTTTAATGTTTGTGTTTATGTCAATTTCTCGAATTATTTGTGTTTATTGTGTTGAGTTTTTACTAATTTTGTTCTAGCTGTATATTTTCAGGTTCCCGGACGGGGGACGACGCTGGAGGACGACGCTGGAGGACGACGTTGGAGGACCAAGGCCGGCCAACAGAAGAAGAGGAATTTATTGTCTAGTTATGTACAGTGCATCCTATTAGTGAAAAGGGTAAGTAAGAAACTGCACTTGTTCCACTTTGAAATTCCCGATTTCCTCTCTAAACCCCAGGTGAGGTTAAGATTGGAATTGGCCTTGTTCTCTGCAGTCTGTGCATTTTAATGACTCTTATTAATGATGAAGTCTTTATTAATGCCTCTGTTTTTTTCTTTGTTAGCGGAAGACAGTTAACGCTGATCCAGATGCCTTAGTGAGACAGAGCTTGTCTCCCATTCAACTGGAGCCCCCTACTGGAAGATGCGGTAAGATTCAAACTCTAAACTCTACTTCTTGCACTCTTGACTAAGTCAATTGATGTTGAGCCTATCAGCCCTTGACCTTTTGATTTGTAATTGATAGGATGCAGACCGATGGGGCCCGTCAGAAGATGAACGCAAGGAGCCGATTCCGCAACCAGGAAGCCTATTAGAGAAGTGCCATTTATGTCTCCCTTTCTTATTTTTTGTCTGTTTCCTGTATCCTCCCTACGCTAACATAACTAAAACTTATCTTCTCCTCCCCATCCTCTTCCTCCATTTTACTCTTTCCTGATCTAATTGCTTAAATTGTCTTCATTATCTTAATCGATTTGTTCATCTCATCTTCGTTTAATGTTTGTGTTTATGTCAATTTCTCGAATTATTTGTGTTTATTGTGTTGAGTTTTTACTAATTTTGTTCTAGCTGTATATTTTCAGGTTACCGGACGGGGGACGACGCTGGAGGACGACGCTGGAGGACGACGTTGGAGGACCAAGGCCGGCCAACAGAAGAAGAGGAATTTATTGTCTAGTTATGTACAGTGCATCCTATTAGTGAAAAGGGTAAGTAAGAAACTGCACTTGTTCCACTTTGAAATTCCCGATTTCCTCTCTAAACCCCAGGTGAGGTTAAGATTGGAATTGGCCTTGTTCTCTGCAGTCTGTGCATTTTAATGACTCTTATTAATGATGAAGTCTTTATTAATGCCTCTGTTTTTTTCTTTGTTAGCGGAAGACAGTTAACGCTGATCCAGATGCCTTAGTGAGACAGAGCTTGTCTCCCATTCAACTGGAGCCCCCTACTGGAAGATGCGGTAAGATTCAAACTCTAAACTCTACTTCTTGCACTCTTGACTAAGTCAATTGATGTTGAGCCTATCAGCCCTTGACCTTTTGATTTGTAATTGATAGGATGCAGACCGATGGGGCCCGTCAGAAGATGAACGCAAGGAGCCGATTCCGCAACCAGGAAGCCTATTAGAGAAGTGCCATTTATGTCTCCCTTTCTTATTTTTTGTCTGTTTCCTGTATCCTCCCTACGCTAACATAACTAAAACTTATCTTCTCCTCCCCATCCTCTTCCTCCATTTTACTCTTTCCTGATCTAATTGCTTAAATTGTCTTCATTATCTTAATCGATTTGTTCATCTCATCTTCGTTTAATGTTTGTGTTTATGTCAATTTCTCGAATTATTTGTGTTTATTGTGTTGAGTTTTTACTAATTTTGTTCTAGCTGTATATTTTCAGGTTCCCGGACGGGGGACGACGCTGGAGGACGACGCTGGAGGACGACGTTGGAGGACCAAGGCCGGCCAACAGAAGAAGAGGAATTTATTGTCTAGTTATGTACAGTGCATCCTATTAGTGAAAAGGGTAAGTAAGAAACTGCACTTGTTCCACTTTGAAATTCCCGATTTCCTCTCTAAACCCCAGGTGAGGTTAAGATTGGAATTGGCCTTGTTCTCTGCAGTCTGTGCATTTTAATGACTCTTATTAATGATGAAGTCTTTATTAATGCCTCTGTTTTTTTCTTTGTTAGCGGAAGACAGTTAACGCTGATCCAGATGCCTTAGTGAGACAGAGCTTGTCTCCCATTCAACTGGAGCCCCCTACTGGAAGATGCGGTAAGATTCAAACTCTAAACTCTACTTCTTGCACTCTTGACTAAGTCAATTGATGTTGAGCCTATCAGCCCTTGACCTTTTGATTTGTAATTGATAGGATGCAGACCGATGGGGCCCGTCAGAAGATGAACGCAAGGAGCCGATTCCGCAACCAGGAAGCCTATTAGAGAAGTGCCATTTATGTCTCCCTTTCTTATTTTTTGTCTGTTTCCTGTATCCTCCCTACGCTAACATAACTAAAACTTATCTTCTCCTCCCCATCCTCTTCCTCCATTTTACTCTTTCCTGATCTAATTGCTTAAATTGTCTTCATTATCTTAATCGATTTGTTCATCTCATCTTCGTTTAATGTTTGTGTTTATGTCAATTTCTCGAATTATTTGTGTTTTTCTGTTTAATTTTGTGTTATATTTTTTCCCGGACGGGGACGAATTATTTTGTGTTTATTGTGTTGAGTTTTACTAATTTTGTTCTAGCTGTATATTTTCAGGTTCCCGGACGGGGGACGACGCTGGAGGACGACGCTGGAGGACGACGTTGGAGGACCAAGGCCGGCCAACAGAAGAAGAGGAATTTATTGTCTAGTTATGTACAGTGCATCCTATTAGTGAAAAGGGTAAGTAAGAAACTGCACTTGTTCCACTTTGAAATTCCCGATTTTCTCTCTAAACCCCAGGTGAGGTTAAGATTGGAATTGGCCTTGTTCTCTGCAGTCTGTGCATTTTAATGACTCTTATTAATGATGAAGTCTTTATTAATGCCTCTGTTTTTTTCTTTGTTAGCGGAAGACAGTTAACGCTGATCCAGATGCCTTAGTGAGACAGAGCTTGTCTCCCATTCAACTGGAGCCCCCTACTGGAAGATGCGGTAAGATTCAAACTCTAAACTCTACTTCTTGCACTCTTGACTAAGTCAATTGATGTTGAGCCTATCAGCCCTTGACCTTTTGATTTGTAATTGATAGGATGCAGACCGATGGGGCCCGTCAGAAGATGAACGCAAGGAGCCGATTCCGCAACCAGGAAGCCTATTAGAGAAGTGCCATTTATGTCTCCCTTTCTTATTTTTTGTCTGTTTCCTGTATCCTCCCTACGCTAACATAACTAAAACTTATCTTCTCCTCCCCATCCTCTTCCTCCATTTTACTCTTTCCTGATCTAATTGCTTAAATTGTCTTCATTATCTTAATCGATTTGTTCATCTCATCTTCGTTTAATGTTTGTGTTTATGTCAATTTCTCGAATTATTTGTGTTTATTGTGTTGAGTTTTTACTAATTTTGTTCTAGCTGTATATTTTCAGGTTCCCGGACGGGGGACGACGCTGGAGGACGACGCTGGAGGACGACGTTGGAGGACCAAGGCCGGCCAACAGAAGAAGAGGAATTTATTGTCTAGTTATGTACAGTGCATCCTATTAGTGAAAAGGGTAAGTAAGAAACTGCACTTGTTCCACTTTGAAATTCCCGATTTCCTCTCTAAACCCCAGGTGAGGTTAAGATTGGAATTGGCCTTGTTCTCTGCAGTCTGTGCATTTTAATGACTCTTATTAATGATGAAGTCTTTATTAATGCCTCTGTTTTTTTCTTTGTTAGCGGAAGACAGTTAACGCTGATCCAGATGCCTTAGTGAGACAGAGCTTGTCTCCCATTCAACTGGAGCCCCCTACTGGAAGATGCGGTAAGATTCAAACTCTAAATTCTACTTCTAGCACTCTTGACTAAGTCAATTGATGTTGAGCCATATCAGCCCTTGACCTTTTGATTTGTAATTGATAGGATGCAGACCGATGGGGCCCGTCAGAAGATGAACGCAAGGAGCCGATTCCGCAACCAGGAAGCCTATTAGAGAAGTGCCATTTATGTCTCCCTTTCTTATTTTTTGTCTGTTTCTTGTATCCTCCCTACGCTAACATAACTAAAACTTATCTTCTCCTCCCCATCCTCTTCCTCCATTTTACTCTTTCCTGATCTAATTGCTTAAATTGTCTTCATTTTCTTAATCGATTTGTTCATCTCATCTTCGTTTAATGTTTGTGTTTATGTCAATTTCTCGAATTATTTGTGTTTATTGTGTTGAGTTTTTACTAATTTTGTTCTAGCGGTATATTTTCAGGTTCCCGGACGGGGGACGACGCTGGAGGACGACGTTGGAGGACCAAGGCCGGCCAACAGAAGAAGAGGAATTTATTGTCTAGTTATGTACAGTGCATCCTATTAGTGAAAAGGGTAAGTAAGAAACTGCACTTGTTCCACTTTGAAATTCCCGATTTTCTCTCTAAACCCCAGGTGAGGTTAAGATTGGAATTGGCCTTGTTCTCTGCAGTCTGTGCATTTTAATGACTCTTATTAATGATGAAGTCTTTATTAATGCCTCTGTTTTTTTCTTTGTTAGCGGAAGACAGTTAACGCTGATCCAGATGCCTTAGTGAGACAGAGCTTGTCTCCCATTCAACTGGAGCCCCCTACTGGAAGATGCGGTAAGATTCAAACTCTAAACTCTACTTCTTGCACTCTTGACTAAGTCAATTGATGTTGAGCCTATCAGCCCTTGACCTTTTGATTTGTAATTGATAGGATGCAGACCGATGGGGCCCGTCAGAAGATGAACGCAAGGAGCCGATTCCGCAACCAGGAAGCCTATTAGAGAAGTGCCATTTATGTCTCCCTTTCTTATTTTTTGTCTGTTTCCTGTATCCTCCCTACGCTAACATAACTAAAACTTATCTTCTCCTCCCCATCCTCTTCCTCCATTTTACTCTTTCCTGATCTAATTGCTTAAATTGTCTTCATTATCTTAATCGATTTGTTCATCTCATCTTCGTTTAATGTTTGTGTTTATGTCAATTTCTCGAATTATTTGTGTTTATTGTGTTGAGTTTTTACTAATTTTGTTCTAGCTGTATATTTTCAGGTTCCCGGACGGGGGACGACGCTGGAGGACGACGCTGGAGGACGACGTTGGAGGACCAAGGCCGGCCAACAGAAGAAGAGGAATTTATTGTCTAGTTATGTACAGTGCATCCTATTAGTGAAAAGGGTAAGTAAGAAACTGCACTTGTTCCACTTTGAAATTCCCGATTTCCTCTCTAAACCCCAGGTGAGGTTAAGATTGGAATTGGCCTTGTTCTCTGCAGTCTGTGCATTTTAATGACTCTTATTAATGATGAAGTCTTTATTAATGCCTCTGTTTTTTTCTTTGTTAGCGGAAGACAGTTAACGCTGATCCAGATGCCTTAGTGAGACAGAGCTTGTCTCCCATTCAACTGGAGCCCCCTACTGGAAGATGCGGTAAGATTCAAACTCTAAACTCTACTTCTTGCACTCTTGACTAAGTCAATTGATGTTGAGCCTATCAGCCCTTGACCTTTTGATTTGTAATTGATAGGATGCAGACCGATGGGGCCCGTCAGAAGATGAACGCAAGGAGCCGATTCCGCAACCAGGAAGCCTATTAGAGAAGTGCCATTTATGTCTCCCTTTCTTATTTTTTGTCTGTTTCCTGTATCCTCCCTACGCTAACATAACTAAAACTTATCTTCTCCTCCCCATCCTCTTCCTCCATTTTACTCTTTCCTGATCTAATTGCTTAAATTGTCTTCATTTTCTTAATCGATTTGTTCATCTCATCTTCGTTTAATGTTTGTGTTTATGTCAATTTCTCGAATTATTTGTGTTTATTGTGTTGAGTTTTTACTAATTTTGTTCTAGCGGTATATTTTCAGGTTCCCGGACGGGGGACGACGCTGGAGGACGACGTTGGAGGACCAAGGCCGGCCAACAGAAGAAGAGGAATTTATTGTCTAGTTATGTACAGTGCATCCTATTAGTGAAAAGGGTAAGTAAGAAACTGCACTTGTTCCACTTTGAAATTCCCGATTTTCTCTCTAAACCCCAGGTGAGGTTAAGATTGGAATTGGCCTTGTTCTCTGCAGTCTGTGCATTTTAATGACTCTTATTAATGATGAAGTCTTTATTAATGCCTCTGTTTTTTTCTTTGTTAGCGGAAGACAGTTAACGCTGATCCAGATGCCTTAGTGAGACAGAGCTTGTCTCCCATTCAACTGGAGCCCCCTACTGGAAGATGCGGTAAGATTCAAACTCTAAACTCTACTTCTTGCACTCTTGACTAAGTCAATTGATGTTGAGCCTATCAGCCCTTGACCTTTTGATTTGTAATTGATAGGATGCAGACCGATGGGGCCCGTCAGAAGATGAACGCAAGGAGCCGATTCCGCAACCAGGAAGCCTATTAGAGAAGTGCCATTTATGTCTCCCTTTCTTATTTTTTGTCTGTTTCCTGTATCCTCCCTACGCTAACATAACTAAAACTTATCTTCTCCTCCCCATCCTCTTCCTCCATTTTACTCTTTCCTGATCTAATTGCTTAAATTGTCTTCATTATCTTAATCGATGTGTTCATCTCATCTTCGTTTAATGTTTGTGTTTATGTCAATTTCCAGGTGAGGTTAAGATTGGAATTGGCCTTGTTCTCTGCAGTCTGTGCATTTTAATGACTCTTATTAATGATGAAGTCTTTATTAATGCCTC